CCCCCACACACACTTTTTTTGCAAATTATCAAGAGGCAGTAGAAGAACCAATCAAATTTTGTGAAGACATGCGACCGGAGAGGAGGATTTGCACAAGTACGGACGAGTGGGCGTGTCCCAACGAAAGGCGATTCTAAAGCGACACACCTGATTTGACGGACTTTTTTTAAAGGGACACACCTGACTGGACAAGCAAAAAAGGGGCGACACAGTACGGCACCACCTGATTGGACAAGAACAAAAGGGGCGTTACTGTARGGCACCACTTTTTCTGGAGACCCCTACTTGGGTCACATTTCTCCTGGTRAACCTTAGTGTTGGGGTCAAGGGTCAGTCTGTATAGAGGTCAAGCAGGGTCTAACGATACCGTCATGTAGGCCTCYTAGCCCACAGTGTTTATGCTTTAGAGACGCCCACTCTTGAGACACGCCCACTTTGATTCCGCAGATAACCCCTTCTCGATTCACAACACTGCCAGTGCTATCACGTCCTGTGTGTCGGGTTTCACCCTGGTTGCAATGACAGCCATTAATCGTTGTCGTTTGTCGCTCACTGTGTGTCGAGCCCTTTATTGATCGACGGCTGTGGGGTTTTTTGTTTTTTGTTTTTTTTTTAGATACATTATGAGAAAAGCCAGAATTATTAGGTTGGGGCTTTTTTTTAGAGAAAGTTTAGTTTATAGAGAAAGTTTTCTTTATTCAAAATTTTTTTTCTAATAAAGTAGGTAAGCAGCTTAGGCATGCTAGTCACTAGCCTCTCAAATTACCCATACTAGTCACTAGCCTCTACGATGCTAACACAAGTTTATCCATGCTAATTGCTAGCCTCCCCGATGCTAACACAAATTAATAGTCTCCTTGCCAGCACTGGCCCCTTAGATATCAGATCAATAGCTGGCTTAGGAACAAATATAGCCTCCTGCTGCAAGGATGGCTCTGGTAGCAACCACTGGTTGTGCAATAGTCTTCATTTTGGCCCTCATACTGTGCCATACATTTCAAAGTAAAAGAAATAACCCAAATTTTCTCCAACACTTTCCTGGTTCTCTAATGGAAACGAACAACAAACATGTACACGTTTACTCAACATTGTTGGACAAAAAATAAAAATTAACAATGTATTTAGAGTGGAAGTATTTTTTAATCAAGAAGAAAAGGCAAAAAGTATAAAATAGACAATCTTTCTATACATACACATGGTAGGAAATGTGACTAAAGTTATAAGTAAGAAAGAACAGAATGAAATGAAGATTTCAATGTCACTTTTTAAGATACAAAGCTACAGCAAGTTCAGTTAATCAAGAATTACCAATACACATGTTACTGAATGCATCAAGGCACACCTGTGATTGTGTATTTTGGTCTTTTGGAGTTTCTATTTACAGTGTCTTTCTTTAAGAAGAATGTACAAATTACATTAGTAATAAAAGGAATTAAGAGCTGAGGCAATAACTAGCCTCCACTTAAGACAAAAACGTCCACTGGAACTATAATACAAAGGTCATTTACAACATTCGATGAATAAAAAGACACCTTAATACTTGCAGATGAATGCAAATAAACAAAAAGACAGAGGTGTTCATGTAATCACTCCTGCTCTCACATATGCTTAGTTTGACATTTACTTCATGGATTAAATGCACCCACTGGGTATGCTGGAGAGAAAGCATTTTATTACAAACAAGAGTGACTTTTTTTTCTCAGACAAAACAGTTTTGCAAAAACAAGCCTTAGCAGAATTTTGAAATGTTGGCATCGGCTGTCTTTGCTTGAGTCAGAAGCTCTGGTATTCGATTAGACCAATGATGAATGAGGTTTGATGACCAAAAAAACAACCTTGTGCAGATTATAGTAAACTGATCATTTTTTTCAGTTAAAGTCTTTTTCTTATATCTGTAAAAAATAAAAATAAAAAAACAAGAGTTGAAAAAAAAGTGTCCAAATTAATTGTAATCACAAAAAAAGCTGTCAAACATCAGGTTAAAAAAAATCTAATTTTAGCACAAACTGATGTAAGGCTTAAAWAACCATCAAATCTAAATTTCAGTTTAAGTTTCAGAAGAGCTTAGTGTCCAGAATCGTCTTCAGATGGTTACAGTTAAAGAAGTCTGTCATGTTTTGGCCAGTAGATAAACTCAGACACACGCAGCTCTTGTGCAAAAACAAAAGTACCGATCATCTGAAAATGGTCCAACAACAAAATGCTTAAAACAAAGACTAAGACTCTTTTGCTACACGTCAAAAAAGCAAACTAACATACAGTCTAGTTTCCTTTACTTTTGGAATGCAGAGCCCAGAAATGCCCTGTTGCAGAGAGATCTCGCGTACAAAGAAAAGAAACATTTAAGTGAACGATCACCAGAGGTTCTACAACAGATATCAGCTCAGACTTCAGCTGTATCACAAACAGAGGTGTTTCTAAGTACAAATGGACAATCGTCTTATATAGTTAATAAAAAAAATTGAAGAAAATCCTGCAATTTTTTTTCTCATTTCTTTTTTTAAGACAACGAAACAAACAAAAATAAACATTCAGACCAAATCAGGTCATTGTACTCAAGCAAACAGTATCCAAACACTGCATAAGTAAGTTCTAATAAATCCACAGGTTTAAACATTGGGCCGGCACGGTGGTGCAGTGGTTAGCGCTGTCGCCGTTCAYCAAGAAGGTTCGCCACCCGGCGTGGGGGCCTTCCTGTCTGGACATAGCATGTCCTCTCTGTGCATGCGTGGGTTTTCTCTCCCAAACCAAACTGGTGACCCTAAAATGTCCCTGGATGTGGTTTAGGGTGTGAATGGTTGTTTGTCTCACTTCTTCCTATATGGACTCGGGATGGACTTGCTACCTGTCCAGGGTACGCGCCACCTTTTAGGCACCAGCTCTCCCATGATCCGTTAAAGAAAAGCAGGGAAAGAAAATGGATGGATGGTTTAAACCTTGTCTTTCAAAAAGTATAATGTCCAGACCTGCTCTTGTCTCAATTCCATAAAGTCCACTTTCCAAGAGCAGGAAGCTTTAAGGCAGATTTCTTTGGGTGATGTAAATTAAGTGCAATAACAGTATTGCTAATACAAAATAATACAATGGTCCTCAGTGGTGTCAGGGTGGAACGATCACTCCTTTAGTCTTCAAGAATAAACATTAATATACAATTTTCAATACTAGTGGTACAATAAAAATTCATGATTGCTTTGTACACGAGTGAGTAGGTTTTTATGGGTATGAAAGCCAAAATAAGACACTGACAGCAAAAAACAAAAAAAAAAATAAAAAAAAAAACAACAACAACAACAACACGACCCTAACATGCCTACTTTTCAGGTGTGATTTGCAGGACAAACAACTCTACAGTATTCCGGCTTACATGTAAAAAGTGAGTCATARGTCTCAGATAAAAATGGGGAAAAAATAAACACTATTTATTCCAGCTCTTTGAAAAAAGCCTATTAAATATTTGACAAAGAGGAATTGTCTTATCCCAGAGCTTTGGAATTTCTTATGGTTCACATTATGGAATGAACAGTGCAACAAAAAAGCAACAAAGAACAATTGTTCTTTGTACAAAACCACAGTTGTCCATTTTGTGTCTTCATTTTCTCGATTTTCCTCCAGTTCTTCTAGTGGTTAAACCCCATCAAAACAGACAATCCCTTGCTTTTGTGTTCTGTTTTTAAATAACGTGGCCACTTCCACTTGGTCATATCATTGCAATTTAAACATACTACCGATGCTACKCAGTAAATTAGTTTTGCATCTTGTTTGGTCAGAGTTTGCTTCAGTTGTCACAGAGACATTAAAAATCATCTTAAATGATGAAGCTGGTTTTTACAATAAGGCAACGTTAAGGCAACAAATCAGCTGCTGGTACACAGAAAGAATCAGAGTTTTGTCTGTTCTTAAAAGGTTTTAGCTCACAAGGCTGCAGCATCGGACAACTGGAACACGCATGAATTACGCCGATGCATTCAGATGTCAGTCAGGAGACATGAAATGTCATTTCAAATAAACTTGTATGCTGCTCTTTGGTGAGGTTTCTGAAGGTTTCTCAGCTGCGGGTAGTGCTGCTGGCTTCAGCCAAGTGGTTACCAGAACTCGGGTGCTCAGAACAGCAGGTCCAGCATTCTGCGTCGGCTGGTGTTTGTTTGAGTAAGGCTAACAGGTGAGGCTCAGCGGAATTTCAAAAAAAAAAAAAAAATCCCCTTCATGTTTGTGTAACAGCACAGGAGATCTGAGGAGGAGGACACTTCCTGAATGAAATCTGTGAGGTGATTGGCTGAATTCTCCTACACTGAATCACTGTCGTGATCCATCGGCTCGTCTGGGACACTGAAGGAGAATAAGGCAAACATTGTTGGTGTTATTGCGAAGCTCGACTGTGTTTGTGTGTTAAAGGTGGTATATCAATGAGCTGTGACACTGAATCGCAGGAAAATATCAATATTCAACCTTAGTCTCAGTAAACTAGTGTTGTAGTCAAGACCACATAACTCATGATCAAGACCAGAGTGTATCGAGACCAAGACAAGACCAAGACTTTAAGGACATGCACCAATGACGAGACCAAGACTGAGGTAGGGCGAGACCAAGTCAAGACCAAGACCAAGAATAAAACTGAAACTAGTGCCCTAAAACATAGAGTATACTGCTCACAGGTAGCTAACTTAATATGGATAGCTAGTGTTAACTAAATCTCTTTGACTGCTAATGTTAGCTAGCTAGCTTTGCTAACATGACTTTTACTTTGTGCTTCTTTTCTAAATGATGATAAAAGTTTGAAGTAGTCCCCACCATCTCTGAAAGCTGCAGAATTTACAAGTTGCTGTATGCGTTCTCCTGGATATTGTTTTACAAATATATTATTTATGATTTATGTAGACGAATTATAACACTGAAGACTTTGCAGACATCTTCTCCCGCTCCCAGACAACCACTGCTCACTTTCTTGGAGTGCCATGTACTGTAAGAGTAGCTGCGCAAATTGGAATTTTGAAAATAAATTTGCTTAATGGAAACATGTCAATTTCGAATAAACTTACATTTTTTGACAAAATGTTTTTGCTCTAGGATAAGGTGGTCTTTCGGCCGTATCAAAATTGGTGTATTTCGCAAAACTGCAATGGAAACACTTTTTTCACATCACGGGAGTCACGTGATCAACAACCGGCTGTTTCTACTGGTGAAAAAGACGACGAAGAAGACAACAGGAAATAGAAGTAGTAGTAAAATCACCGAAGTAGTAAAAGAAAATAGTAAAATCACCAACTACAATCTCCCAAAAACGCTGTATACGTAGCCGCTCCCAAGTGTAAGAGGCTTGCTGCTCAAAAGCCTCGATAAGACGRCMACGTCTCCTCTGATGGCTGATGATGAGRGCTAATGTCATGGTAGCAACATGTGTTTACATCCGCCATGTTCGTAATGACATCGGGAGAACAAACATATTCAGGCATGACTAATTTCTTATTTAATGGAAAAACAGCAATTGCGAAACTGTGTTTTTCGACATTAACAGAATATCGACAAAGTTTTGCGCACATTTGCAATGGAAACGCTTCCAGTGAAAGGGGGTTGAGATGGATGACAGCYGTAACAAAAATACAGAATTAGCCACGAATCACGTTTGGATTTCAATCAGTATGTTTTACATCCAATGAAAGCAAAGATGTTAACGCAATTTAGTGATATTTCCACAGTTGTGGTCTCGACTGGTTTTGAAATAAAATCCCAAGTCCTCAACGTCCGAGACAAGACAGAGTACAAATGTGGTCAAGTCTGAGACCAAGACCATCTAAAAGTGGTCTTGAAACTAGTCTTAAGACCAAGACCYYTCTCAAGAACTACAGCACTGCAGTAAACTCTAAACATTGGTGACCAAGTGACGGTTGAGCAGGTAAGTAGACGTGCAGACAACATTCAGGGGGGGTGGGGGTCTTCTAAAAGTTCTACCAGCCACTAACAGCCCAGTGAGATACCACCTTTAGTGCTGATGAATGTGAAAGCTGTACCTCTTGTTGGGCATGATCCCCACGGATAGCGAGGCCAACGCATTCACAGCGTCCGTTTCCTCGCAGTCTTTGCTCTGAGCGGCCAGGTATGACAGTCCTACTGTTCCGCTGTAGTCCTTTAAGTTCTGCCAGTACTGACCTGTGACACAAACATTGTCAACAATTAAATGCAAACGCTGTATCATTGTTTAGGGTGTGTGTTACATGTAAATGTTATAGGGCAAGAAAAAGAATAAAGGATGAAGGGATCGTTGAATTACTGCTGCTCACTTTGTATCTGTATGACAGTCTGCAGGGAGCGAACTGCGTTGGCATTTGGTTTTTGGAGCAGAACATCTTCTGGCATTTTATCCTATAAGGCAGAAACAGGCAAAAGCAAAGAAAAAGGTTTTCAATTCTGTAGTATACTGTATATATTTCCTTTTATACTGGAATGCTTTCTTTAGAATCTAAACCATTTCTGATGTTCAGCTGTAAAATGTAAAACAGTGAAAAGTCTTCACTCTGATTGCCTGATTGTTGTACAGGACAACATTACAAATGCTTTACTTTCTGCTAGGTTAAGCAATAATTCTAAAATCATTAAGAGAACAAAATATAGTTACCTGTATGCCTAGAAGAGCACTGACACAGGCCTCGGATGCATCGCAAATGGCTGTGAGGTCATGACCCCCTTCGAGGGACAAAACCAGCCGACCTCCAGCAAGAGACATCAGCTGCCGGGTCAGGAAGCCAAAACCTGTGGTACACAAACGCACGCAGAAATATTAACGCGAAACATGTTACAATTCGTAAAACATAAAGCTTTGCAGGTGAGCTTAAATCATCAAACCATTTATCACAATAGTTATCGTATTTGTTCGTGTATAATACGATCACATTTATAATACGACCCCACCTTTTTTGAGTTTAAAAAGCATTAAAAAATTAATCCTCAAACTACCTCCAATTTCATACAGACTTCAAGATTTTTCAGCCTTTTCAGTCTTTCTACATATCAGTGAAATGATCATTGCACTGTTCATTTTATTTTAACAACATATGTACTAAAAGGTATTTTGACAACAAATATATATCAGCTGTAGCAGCATCATATGAATTCTGGCATTTTACACATAGTCCACCAGGAMGCSCCAACACAAAAGTCAGAGACTTCACYTGAGATTTGGACCATCTTGTGGGGGAAAAACAGATTAKTTCCTACTCGTGAGCGCCCCCTCTGGTGAGGGAAACATTTTTTCAGGGATACAAACTTTGTCAGAACACCYGTAGACGGCAGCCATTACAGACGAACATGTGTTTGTTGTTGTCCGAGGAGCTGCCCGGTCGCACACTAATGTCATTAGTTCGTTATCATTACTAAGGTGCAGGAATACTTTTTGCACCCTTTTTTTCACATTATGTCGTCTGCCTGGATCTGTTATTATCTCGCTTTGAAGTACGGAGGAGTGTCAGAGGTAAGTTCGTTTTAACTGTTTTTCATGACGTGGTCTCATTTCCGAACTCAGGCATTTTGTGAATGAAGCCYATTCAGTGGAAATACATAAGTAAAAATATTTATCTGAGTATAATACTACCCCCCAGCTTTATGGATGATTTTATGGATTAAATTTTACGTATTATACTTGAATAAATACGGTTCTACTATTTCAAAACAGTGCAAATTTATACCAGTTTACACCATCTCACAGCAGCAAATCCTCTAGATATAAAGTTACATACATGATAAAGAAAATAAATAAATAAATAAATAAATAAATAAATAAATAAATAAATAAAATAAAGACAGGTTGTGCTCTTTGGCACCTGTCTGGCATTATAAGCTAACAGAGTGAAGAAAAGTAAAGAAAGCTCACATACTGTAGGTCATGTGAGCTAACATTAATATTTGGCAGAACCGTGCTTACATTTGGCGGAGACCTTGTATCCTCCCAGAGGTGCAGGGTTTCCCTCAGCGGCATCGAATCCAGCCGACACCAGAACAACGTCTGGAGAGAACTCCTGAGCAATGGGCATCACCACAGACCTGCAGAGACACACACGCGTACCGCCCACTGTCACTTCAATGACCAAAATGGTTTGTTTAAATTTCTAACAGAATTTAAAGCACAGATTTTTAAAGAAACCATAAAGTGTGTAGRTATTTTCCACGTTTTCCCAAAAATGTAAAGCAAAGACTGTGCAGCAAAGATTTGACAGAAAGCAAATTTCAATAAGCTGTTTATTGATAATGCACCTTAAAACATTACTGGCTCAATGAAAAAGACTTCATTACAGACGTCTTTGCTCTGCTAGTTCTTAAAAACTGTCCCTAATATTCAGTCAAATTTAGTGTTGTTGTTGTTTTTTAATGGAGTACTTCCAAAATACCAAATCTTCATGATCCAACTAAAAGAAGTCATCACAATAAGTGAATACAAACATCAGCAGATCCCAAACTTAGCAGCTCAAAAGGAGTTGATTTGATTTGATTTATTGATTCAATAGGAAAAGATTTCTAAAAATCAAGCCTGACTCAGCATAATTGCTGTTTTACAGCAGGTTCCTGTTCTGCAGCACATAAAACACTCAAAATTACAGCATCACAATCACATCATTATACACCATAGACACAAAGACAAACAAGCATACCAAATTTCAGGAAGGCAGCATTTGCAAAATAGGACGTCTAAATATGAGCACAACAAAAAGTGTCCAGCAGATGGCAGACAAGATTCTTCTTAAAGGGCTGTAGTTTTGAAATGGACTTTGTTTTGAGGAATGTCATTCCATGCTTTAGTATAAACATAGAAGAAAGACCTCTGGCCGTAACAGTTTTTAAAGTTGGTAATATCAGTTGTCCTTTTGTAACAGATCTAGTTGAATGACCACTTCCAGAATTTGATTTGGGCAACAAGGCACAGAGAGTTCCATAATTGGCACCTTGGAAGATCTGAAAATATAAATTAATACCACTATACAAAACATAATTCTGAAAAGTCAAGGCATCAGACAATGAAAGAACTGTACAGTGATGAGTCCAACCAGGAAGTTTTTTATGAATTTTGCATGCCCTGTTGTAGAGCCTAACTATGGGTTCTAAGATTTCATTTGTTGTAAGAGACCAAACAGGTAAACAGTGTTGACAAAGAACTCTCGTTTCTCTGCTGGAGAAGCTGCAGTTCCTCAAATAAGACAGGTCTGCTTACAGCTCTCATGCACAATGTTGTTTGTGGACTTCAAGCATATTTCCTTAATGTTATTGTTCAGAATAAAGATGTGCAGATCAGTGGGTGAAGAGAAAGAGGACTGACTCTGCAAGCCGTCGGCGAAGTTCAAAGCCGTGGTGTGTMGGTCTGTTTCCTATTAGAGGCTTGTCACTCTCCTCACGTCATTGAGCACACAGGAAAAAAAAAGAGGAAAAGCAGTCCATCTGGGATCCATTTACTTTCATTATTCTGCCTCGGGACTCTGGAGACTGACCGRCCCCCCTCGTAAACACACACACATTCGAGCACAAAAATCCAAACACATCCCGCTATCAGGACCACAWGCAAACGGACAACGTGAGCTCACAGACGAAGTGAGGACAGACAAGGATGGAACACAAAAACCTGTTCCAGCATTAAGAGCAGAAATGTAAAGACATATATTTATGCAAACAGATTTAAAGGACGGAGCAGTTATGATCCTGTTGGGTCATTTTGATAAATAAAAAATGATCCCCATAAAGCAAGAAGCAGCTTTAKAAAACTAATGTGAACATGAAGCAGAAGCACGCACACACTCCTCACTCAACCTCACAAACAACWGTAAACTACAAAACTCAACCACACCTCCCCTGTAGACCCATTAAAACTGTCGCCCCCCCAGAAAAAACTAACTACAGGCATCCTAATGGAAAGAAGGAGGGAGGGTAAAAGGAGAGGAGGAGACGCTTATTAAAGATCAATCAGCGGAGGACAGGAAGAGGGGGACGTGTGTGTGTGCTGGTTAGTGGTGAGGCTTATGGTGAGGGAAAATAGGGGGAGTGGGGGTGAAGGTTAAGGTAAAAAAGCAACAAAGCACCCCACCCCAAAACTTAAACTTATACCCATAAAATGCATTCCATTAAACAGCCTTTAGATTTTTTTTTTTAATGCTGACCATGAAACGTTGGAAAACTTCATTAAATACAAAGCAGGAGTGCAGTGCTGAAAGTAATAGGTGGAAGAATTGGGGGTGGGGGTGGGCTTTAACATTTAAATGTGTTAAAACTGCTTGAAAAAAAAACATACAACTTAAATATTTATTCCTCCGCTCTTTTTCACTTCTGAATGTGTCACTGAGCGCTACAACTCAAGCCTGGATAATTCAACAAACTAAAAATGTAAAACTCCACCTAATCAGGCTTCCAGGTGGCCAAGATGCTTACCAAAACCCAAARAAGTGATGAATGTCAACTCCCTTCGATTTATTCTCATTTCTGGACCTTTCACTCTGTCTTCTTTCCACACAGCTCAAACTGTCAGATACATGAGTTTTATTACCCTGATGTGCCAGGTGGTGCGTCCTGAAGAATTTTTTTAATTTTTTTTTGTGAAGTTTCCAACTTCCACCAATCTATCATGAGAGGTCAACATCAGCAGTAAACRTTTACTGTTTCACTGAAGGGACCACTGCTAAAAGTTCAATAAAAAAAACAAATCAGCTCTAACTTCAAGAGCAGTTTTATCTAAAACTGTCCAACATGTCTTTACATCAAAAAKCTCATTTCAGTGTTACTCTTTCATCAAAAGCCATAAATGTAGGCTTTCAAGTGTTTTAATTGCAACTGTGTAAAAGTAATGTGATCTACCTAGTAGCTCAATGCAACTGGGTTGCAAAATTGTACGTGTCACTAGCCACAGAGGTTCAGAGGTGACCTGTTCAGTCTCAGAAACACAAACTGTTAACAAAAGAACATATATCATTTTCTTGATTACAGAAAGGTCAGAGGTCAGGGTCATGCTTCATAGAGCCACTCCAAACACACAAGAAGCAACGTTTCACAAACAAAAAAATAAAGCACACTTCAGGAATGATCTGTAAACAGTCATGATGTCTAGCCTCTCACTGAAGAATCAGTAATAGCAGGAACTGCTCTGTCATATTATTATGACCCCTCCCCCTCCCACACACACACACACACACACACCTGAAGCAGGGGGTCATATTGTTTTTGTACTGTTGATTTTTAAAAAATCTCAGAGATTTTTGGTGAAACTGCTGCACCAATCAGCATGACGTTTGGTAAGAATGTAGATGTGTTTGACCTACACTGTGCCAGCCAACAATATTACGATAGACCTCATATTTGAGGAGGGGGCTCCATCTGTAAATGGGGGCGTCTGGACATACAAAAATGCTTATAACTCAAAAACTGTTCAACATAGGAGCTTCAGATTTTTTTCATTTTCTTTTTTAACTCTGATGAACATCTATCCATCGGGTCCACATGTGACTTTTACACACACCCTAAGAAATGAAGTGTTGAATTTAACTAACAAACCAACCAAAGTTGAGTGAATTGCTTTAATTCAACTCACTTTAGTGGAACCAGTTAACATAACTTTGTTTAGTAAATTCAACACTTCATTTTTTAGAGAGCATTAAAAAAACTCTATTCATGATGCAGGNGTTTAGTAAATTCAACACTTCATTTTTTAGAGAGCATTAAAAAAACTCTATTCATGATGCAGGGTTCCTGCAGTTTAAGCCAAGTTAAATTTAAGACTTTTTAAGACTTTATAATGCCAAGTGAAATTAAATTTAAGGCCAATTTCACAATAAACACAAATGACAAAAAAAATAAAAACTGTAGCAGAAACTCATGAATCAAAGTATTTTTGTTTGAAGTATTCAAATATTGCTAATAGARCAATTGTTTTTATCCATATCAAACTATAGCAGCAACARTCTTAGCAGTCAGTTTTAAACTTAATTTAATTTCTGGAAATCCTCTAACAATCCAACATTTGGAGTTTTAGGATCCACAGTGGGGTGTTAACCCCAAACTGCTGTACATGAAATCTTAAAGTGCCTGTCACACCAATTTTTWGTAAGAAAGATGAATGCATTTTTGGAAAGACAACATTATTTACATATTTAAAACAAATTTCACATTGCTCAGATGAACAGTTGTTGAGATATTTGCATGTGAAACAACAGGAAGTGATGTCAAAAGGGAATGTCTGCATGTGAACGTTTAAAAAAAATAAATGTTGCCAATTATTTTAATATTTGAGATGAATTACAATCATCCTACTTACAATGTGTTAACATTTTTAAGACTTCTGAAAAATGATTTAAGACATTTTAAGGCTAATTAAGGCCTTAATTTTGGATTGATGAATTCAAGGCCTTTTAAGACTTTTTAAGGATCTGCAGGAACCCTGCGATGAGTTCCGGTCATGTTTAAATTTGTAACGTGGAACTTGGTGTTCATTTTTCAAGTAAAGAAGTAAAAGTATAATTTTTATGTTCCGACTGCAACTATAAAAGTAAAAGTTACGATTAAAAATTAATACTTGGGAAAATTACAAATCCTACAAGCAATTATTTAAGTACTGTAACAAAGTAAACATACTTAGTTACTAAACACCTCTGGTATTTTGTAAGGATTATGACCCATCTGTTAGATCAGTCTATGACAAAGAATGAATTTATAGGTTTTTATCTGAACACAAACATGCATGTACCAACAGTTTACCCCTCACGTCTGGGATCTATTCCCTGGAGCTGTGTTCCACTAACCAAACAGCTGCCAAAAGTTTCCATGAGGTCTGGTGTACCAGACAACCAAAAAGCCCACACGGCCAAAATTTTATTGGTGTTAAACACCCACCGATGACAATTATCCAACCCACCACCAGGAAGTAACAGTCCACAATCTGTCAAACACAAGACCCGGAGAGCATTTACAGTAAAAAACATCTGAAGTTATTGGAAACAGGGAAGAGTAGACACATGCTCCCCAAATGACAAACATTACGTGAGAAGTGCGTCAGAGGCGAGGCTCTGATCAGCTCCAGTGTGATTGTTGTGGCTCGGTGAACACGAAACAGGAGAAACTGTGCCATTAAAGTTCTGTTAATTATTCTTAGGCTGATCAATAAAACTTGAACGCAGGCCGTGACACAACAATTGCAACAACGAACCAAATAAACTGTATCCATCTGTTGCTTTTGATTTACTAAATTTAACATCCTTACCACGGAATAATATACACACACTGCACAGCGCACTCACAACATAAAAGATCTGTTTTTGATCGTGATGTGGTTCTTATTTATTTTAGTAACACTGCCAAAGTGCACATAATTGTAGCAAAACAAAACAAAAATAACAWACAAAAWCAGAACATYCGAAGAAAAAAGCGGAGTTCAGGAACAATGTTTTTCAACCATATAAAAGATCTCAATGTGTTTCTATGGAGGACTTTGGTGTCGATAAAGCAGCCACTCCCAACTCGTCACATATTGACGCTTGTCCAAAGTTCCCTCTGCGTCCAGTTTTGACGCGTCGGGTTCACCCCTAGCGTCAGTTATTGA